CAGTGCCCAGTCTGGTTCTCACTGTCCCTCGCTGAGTATCCTACATATATCCCACAACCCTGTACAGCATCTTGAAAGACTTCACATCAGCTCTAAGAATGTATTTTATAGCTAAAAAAAAAAAAAAAGGAAACTCAAGACATATTAAAGGCAGCTATAAAATAGTGAAATCCCAAGTCCTAAAACCTTTTGCAGCCCCTGCCTCTAACAGACACTCTGGGCTACTTGTCTTTCCATTACTACATCACACCATGTCTCAGGCTAAATACTTGGACAAACCTGGTTTCTGAAAGGATTAATAACCTCATGGAATTTGTTTTCCTAGCTCCAAAGCTGTGCTGTTGCTACTTGCCTTGGAGCAGAATAGCTTCAGGATTGTTTTTGGTGTCTAAAGACACACATGACTAAAGTGCAGAGTTCTCAGTACTAATGCCGGAAAAAGAAAACTCTGGTAATTTCTGTAGAAAATGGCAAAAAATCAGTCCAGTCAGACAATGAGGATTATACAAGGTGGGTAGCAGAGATTTTCTTCACAGAATAACAAATTACAGTGTGTACAAGCAGAAGTAGAAAAGTTATCCTAAGCTTAGATGGTTAACTTCCTTATAAAACTGGTGGAAAGAAAACCAGACTACAAATCCTAGCTAAATCATAAGCCTTTTTTTTTTTTTTGGGGGGGGGGAGCGGGCAGGTCCTAAGGCTTGAACTCAGGGCTCTGCACTGTCCCTTAGCTTTTTTGCTTAAGGCTGGCGCTTTATTTACTGGAGCCACACCATCCCTTCTGGCTTTTTAGTCGTTAAGGACTTTTCTACCTGGGCTGGCTTCAAACCACAATCCTCCAATCTCAGCCTCCTATATACCTAAGATTACAGGTGTGAGCCATCAGCACCCAGCTTAAACCAACCTTTTCTAATTCTCAAGATTCACTATCACAGAAAGCAAAATGCATACTTTATTCAGAAATAGATTTCTATGATCAAAAACTAGTTACTGTACAGGGCACTAGTGGTCCATGCCTAATCCTAGCTACTCAGGAGGCTTAGATTTAAGGATCACTGCCAGCTTGGGCAGAAATGTCTGCAAGACTCCATCTTCAAAACAGCTAACAAAACTGCCAAGATGGAGGCATGAATCAAGTGGCAGAATGCCAACAAGCTGGCAAGCCCGGCAAGAGGGTGAGTTTGAGTTCCTGAGTTCAAGCACAGGACAAACCAAACCCCTAGTAATTGTGGGGTAAAGACAGCTCACTGGTAAATACACTGTATAGCATGGTGTGAGGCTCTGGATTGATCTACAGCACTAAAAAACTAAAAAGAATGAAAACCAAACCCAAATAACCATGAGAGATCAATCTTAAGTAGCCTCTGTATCTGTGGAAAGCTACTTTTGTTGTTGTTGTTGTTGCTGTGGGGCTTGAACTCTGGTCTTGGGTGCTGTCCCAAGGCTAGTGCTCTACCACTTGAGCCACAGCACCACTTCCGGTTTTCTAGTGGTTTATTGGAGGTCTCACACACTTTCCTGCCCACACTTTCCTGGTGTTGAACCTCGATCCTTAGGTCTCAGCTTCCTGAGTAGCTAGGATCACAAGGCATGAGCTATTGGTACCCAGAGGGAAGCTACTATCTTGATAGCATGTAAGACAATACCAGTTACCAAGTGAAATAAATTATATCGTATCATCACAGCCCATACCACACACAGACATTATCTAAAGTACACAAATTTACCTGTTGGAAAATCTTTGGCTCAAGTTACAGCAAACAACTCCAACCAACATAGAATGTTGCTGAGTCAATGAGGCTGTAAACAACGTTTCTGACAAGCACTTAAGACCAGATACTCCTGAGAGCCGTATTCCAGCTTAAATAACTTAGAAGCCTTTAGTAGTAAGGTTTACTGAGCTGTGGGCTTAATTTAATTTCAACCCCACTTAATCTATATCCCATGACAATCCTTTATTAAGTTTCTCTTGTTGAATAAATCCTAATTTTGTTACTTCAATGGTTTAAGTTTTCTTTAAACAATACCTTAAAAGTTTGTAAGATATACCAATTTAAGAAAAGTAAATCAGCCAGATGCCAGTGGCTCATACCTGTCATCCTAGCTACTCAGGAGATGAGATCTGAGGATCACGGTTCAAAGACAGCCTGGGCAGGAAAGTCCGTGAGACTCTTACCTCTAATAAACCACCAGAAAACCGGATATGGCGCTGTGGCAAGTGGTAGAGCACTAGCCTTGAGCTGAAGAGCTCAGGGACAGCACTCAGGCTCAGAGTTCAAGCCCCACGACAAAAAAAAAAGTAAATCTAGGCTAGGCACTAGCGGTTTACACCCATAATCTTTCTCAATAAGAAGCTGAGATTATGAGGACTACACTTCACAGTAAGCCTGGGCAGGAAAGTCTGTGAGACTCTTATCTACACTTAATCATCAAAAAACCAAAAGTGGTGTTGTGGTTCAAGTGGTAGAGTGCTACCCTTGAGCACAAAAGTTCAGGGACAGTGCACAGGCTCCGAATTCAAGCCCCAGGATGGGCCAAAAGAAAACAAAAAAGCTCACATCTGTAATACTACTTACTCTAAAGGCCCAGATCAAGAGGGTCAAAATTTGAGGCTGGCTCAGCTAGTTTTCAACCAAGACCTGGGCATGTTGGTATGTGCCTGTTGTTCTAGCTATGTGGGAAGCTGAGATAAGGAATATGGTGGCTCCAGGGAAGCCTTGGCATAAGGCTTGCAAGATTCCATCTCAATAAAAAAAGCTGGACACAGTGCGACTTTGTCATCCCACATACAGTGGTAAATGCTATAAAAGGCTAATCGGCCTTCCACTACACTCGTGCACTGAACATGAGAAAGGCCTTCACAGTACACACACAAAATGAATCTGACAAATAGCTGGGTAACTAATGCTTACTTCCTTACTCTCTACGGGGCTGAACTCTGTCTCACTGACATTCCTGCCTGGTATGGCTTCAAACCTCAATCCTTAGATCTCAGCTTCCTGAGTAGCTAGGTTTACAGGCGTGAGCCACCAGCACCTGGCTAAGCCTTCATTTTCTAAAAAGCAACAAGAGGCAATATATCATTGTTGCCAGTACCAGGGTTTGGCCTTGGCCTAACAGTTGGTCAGCTGGTTCTCTACTTGAACCATACTTGCAGCCCAGCTTTTTGCTTGTTATTTTGGAGATAAGTGTTTCAGGGACTATTCTGTCTAGGTTGGTTTCAAACCAAGACCCACCAGATCCCAGCTCCGAGTAGCTAGGATTCAAAGCACAAGCCTGTCACTCTGTGCAAAATACCTTTTCATGAAAAATCCCTTCCAGCACTCAGAAGCCTGAGGTAGGATCACTGAGTTCAAGGTCAGCCTTGGCTATTAGCAAAGAGAGTCTTGAAAATTTTTTTCAAGTTAGCTGTAAGTGGACTATTGAGATTGGAGAGTTGAGAAATGAAAACAAATTGACTTTAAAAAAGAATCACACTTCAATGCCATAATAAGAAAGGCACCACAGCACAACCAAAACATAGTGGCATACAAATGGCAGTGAAACCCGGGTATGGTACATGCCTATCATCACAGTACTGGAGAGGCTCAGGCAGAGGATCTAGTGTTCAAAGCCTGAAGGTGATGACTAAACAGCAAGCCTCTGACTCCACAAAAAGAATTGGAGAACAATGATACTAATGTAATACCTTAACTCAAACTCTTTGGCCTGCTGCTTACAGACACACATACAAATTTTAGCAAATGGTTTCATTTTTCTTGTGACCATCTGTCAACTAAGAGCTAAGGATTATGTGTATAAAGCACTTGTCTAGGCACAATATACTCTGATCAACACTGGCTCCCCATACCTTAAAAAAAAAAAAAGGCCACTTATGGACATGTTCAAGGTGGTTTCAGGGTCCCCCCACCCCCCCAGTACTTACTTATGTCCTTCAAGGTAGTAGCTGAGTAGACATGACCATGTAAAAATGGAGTGAGGTTAAGCTGTACGTGGCAAGTGGAATTCATGATGACCTTCACGTCTTCAGATCTACTCTTAAACACCTACTGGATACTCCAAAACAAGGTTACTGTGCTAAGTAGTTTACATCAACTTCACTCAACTTCAATCTTTACAATTCAATAGCAATGTATATATATGACACACATACTCTCCTTTAGCCAAGTAAGTACCAATTCCAGAAGGCAGATTTGTGCATGAAAAGCTGACAAATACAAATGCAGAATAAAGCACAGAGTGATTGCTTTCTATAGAGAAACCCTTTCTATACCATAAAGAATGACATCACTTTAAAAAAGATATTAGATAATGTGGAAATAAATCAACTTACCTACCATCAGAATAAAACCAAACCTTTTAGTCCTTAAGATTCAAACTATTTGGGGGAGAACAATGGACGGAGTAACACTGATGAACATGCATTACACTCATACTCTGACTTGTGGAACTGAAACCTTTTTGTACAACTACTTAACTGAAAAAAAAAACATTTTATTTTTTTCCTTTGTGGTACATGTTATGCAAATGCTCTTATTAGAGTATATACATACCTATAACTCCAACCCAAACTTAATTAAAACTTTACTACCCAAAGTCTTGTTGAATTCTGTGTCTTCATTTCCCCTGAGATAACAAATTAGGTGCAAAGGGTTTGCAAGACATTCCTAGCAACAGACATGCCTAGTGCATGTGTGCAAACAAATAACATGTAAATGAAGCTATTTCATGCTGGTATTTGGTAGATAAGTGGAGAATCCTGCAATGCGAATTTGTTAAGATTATCTTCTGAATTAAACTTCAGTTTTCAAATGTATAAGACAGGTCATTAAAAGTCATTGTGGCATTATTGAAGAAAATTTGGAACTCACTAGTAGTACAACTTCAATTCAGAAAATTACCTGAAAACTAAACTACTGAGATACCTGACCTCTTCTAGTATCTACTGAAGCAGAAATCCAATACCAGCCAAAAACACAATCACATAATTAGCTTTTCTAGTTTTAAAATGTCCACTTTATTCCATATAACACTTCACCAGATTCTCATTTACATCTGAAGAAGGGTTGGTCCACGCGACTGGCCTACAGCAAGACACTCTAAGAAATGTAATCCAATTTTACACCTTCCCAGGCATCCGACAATGGTATCACAATGCAGAGATAAGGTGCCACTACATTTTACATAAAAGTATCAATAAACTTCAGAAAGTAGTAAATTCACCTGTCCCTTAAAATATGGGTATGCAATTGTTACAAAGCCATAGTAAATGGTTTTATAAAATGTAATTTTATTTTTATGTTACTCTGCTGTTACATAGGGCATAACATTTTCACAAGGCTTTTTTGGGACTACAGTCAATGATTAGCAACACATAATAGTGGTCCAACTCTCTAAAGAACAATCACTAAGACAAACTGGACACCCTCTCATATGTGCACAAATCTGCATGGAAAAGTACTAAAGTTTTAAACTTGGACTTGTATACTTTATTTCCCCTTTCTAGTGTATTAAGAAATGACATGCACTTTAATTTGCCAAAAGCAATGCTTGTATTCTGGCAGCAACATGCTACTTCTATTACATAGTGAAGTGAATACCAGAACTACAAAGGCAGGAGGTGTAAGTGAATTTTTATTGGGTAGGGAAGTTGTCAACTTAAACAGCAGCAAATGAAGAATGAATAGGAAACTCCCTGTTGTCACACACATGACCTCCATTAAAAAGTGAAACAGGAGGTATTTCAATTTGTAAGCCCTCAGCCCAGAAACATCAAGTGCTTTCCCACTCAATCTAATACGTCTGGATTCCTCCTAAAAAGGAATACATAAGAGCATGGAAAAGTTGCTTTCTGAAAGGAAACCCCCAAAGAAGAGTAAGGGAGGGAATGTAGAAATAAGGAAGTTATGTAGAACACACTTCAAGTTGTAATTCACTACATTTTCGTATCTTCACAGTAATACAAAACACAGTCACTTGTAGAACTGGTTTAGATTACTTAAATACCAGGTACATTTTTAGTCCTCTACATAAGTGTCTGGAAGTTACTTATGTGTATATGAAATGAAGCTATTAATACTTTTCTACAGCAGTAACTGCACACGAGGAAGGCCAAGACAAAGACAAATCGAGGAATGGAGTTTTCCCAAAGCTGCAGTGTGAAAAGACTATGAACAGTTGATTCCATACACATGAATGGGTTTCTCTGCTATAGGAAATCCAAGTGGAATAAGGAATGGAGATGTGTAAAAAGGTTTCTTGAAGAGAAGGTTTACACCCTGTTTGTGTTTAGTTTTCGGCCCCTTCTGCCGCATCACATTCTTCTCCTGCGCTGTCTGATGTCCATAACTAGAAAACAAAGAATCATAGGTATTATTTCCAGACCAGACCACTGATACATCAAGTCCTATGTTCTATCTGTCTGTCTCTCTTCATGTACATTTTTAACGTACTCTTAAAAAGTAGTCAAAAAAATAAAAATAAAAAAAAGAGCTACACTGGGCTATAGCTCAGAGGCAAAACACTTGCCTCTTGCAAGGCTCTGGGTTTGATTGTCAACATTGATAAACAAAGCTAAAATCAGAATAAGCAAGGAGATATCCTAATAATTTAATGTTCTTTTCATTGTTAGTATTTCAGTAGTTTATGAGACTAAAAACCAAAAACTACTGATATGGAAGGAAAAGCTACAGGTGTGGTAACTTTCCAAGTATTCAAAAGGATTACACAGAAAAAGAAGCAGTCATTTTGTGTTGTTTTAAGAATTAAACCCGGGGGGGGGGGGGGGGAGGGGGGAAGGGGGGGGGGGGGGGGTGTCTGGAAATGTGGCTTAGTGTAAAGTGCTTGCCTAGCATTCACTGGGTTCGGTTCCTCAGTACCACAGAAAAAGGCAGAATGGTGCTGTGGCTCAAGTGTAGAGTGCTAGCCCTGAGCAAAAGCAGCTCAGGGGCAGTGCCCAGGCCTGAGTTCAAGCCCAGGCCCAGAATTCAAGGCCCCAGGACTAGCAAAAAAAAAAAAAAGTATTATTATTATTAAACGGGTGGAAAGCTACAGGGAAGCAGCAACTATATACATACAGATGAACAGAAAGAGTTCTTGAATTGGAGACAATGCCTCAACACACACATCTCCAAAGCTTTCTAGTTTTAGGATATACAGAAGTGAAAAAGTAATCAGTCAACACTAAGTAATACTGACCATAATCCACAAACACTGGATGCTACCAGACCAACGTGCAGTCATTACTGACAATTTTAGAAACTAGAATCTTAGATAATCTTTATGTTACTGTCAGGATACAACTCAAAAATGGATACAACTAAAATCAACAAATTCCCTCAAGAACTACATACATTTATGTATATGTATATACACATATGCACACATTTAGTCCTATCTAGTAAAAGATGAAACACCATATTTGAGGGCTAGGAGAACTACATTTATATATTATAACATGGAATCTTTTCATTTACTTTCTAGAAAGTTTAACACAGTATCTTATTAAGTGTGCTTGAACCTACAAAAACCTAAGCTCACACTGTTTCTTTACCTAATGATTTCAGGCTATGGTTTGGGTCTGAAATGTCCCACAGAAGACCTGGCTCCCTACGCAAGCCAGTGAAACCTGCAGGAAATGGGGTTTAGCTGGAGGAAATTCTATCACTGGGGGAGTGCCTTGAAGGGCACAGGATGTTGCAACCTCAGTTCTCTCTTTGCTTCCTGGTTTCCAGGAGATAAAGGGCTTCCTGATCCTGCCTTGGTGTATGTACGGACAAATCAACAGCACCAAACTACCATGGGCCAAAACCTCTGAAACTGAGTCAGAAAATACATTTCAGAAGTGGCACTGTGGCTCAAGTGGTAGAGAGCTCGCCTTAAGCTCAGGGAAGAGCTCAGGGATGGCGCCTAGGTCCATAGTTCAAGCCCCAAAACAAACAAAACCAAAAACAAACAAAAAAAGCATTCTTAGAATATACATTTCCTCCTGGTAGGTTGGTTTATTTCAGGTGTTCTGTCACAGCATCAGAAAGCTAACAAATGTCCTTTATCAGCTATCTTTCAAAGTAGGGAGGACAAACAAGAAGACAAACCAAAGGATTCAGAATAAACCTGATATATGTTTACTCTCTACTGAGTAATGCTTGTCAAATATGCAAAATCTACAACATGAACTTTTATTAGAACAGCTATTTCTTGTGATTTTAGAAAAGCATTGAAACATAGTCCCAATTCTGCTACAGCTAGTTTATCCAAAGAATGAAAAAATTAAAACAATAGAAACTCTAAATTAACACAATTTATTAACATCTTCAACTCAATGAAATAGTAATGTGAATACCGAGTTTCTCAGACAGGCCTAATGCCAACACACACACACACAGAGGCCTAATGCCAATACACACACACACAGGCCTAATGCCAATACACACACACACACACACACACACACTCACTCTCTCTCTCTCTCTCTCTCTCTCTCCTCTCTCTCTCTCTCTCTCTCTCTTCCTCCCTAGGAGAGTAACTTATGTAACTACCCTCAGAAGAAGCTAGGGAGCCCTAAATATAACTACTTTTGTTCTTGAAAGAAAATAAAATTAAGAATGAACAACTTACTGTTAAGTTGTCTCTAAGCAACTGCATGATGAGGGTGCTATCTTTGTATGAGTCTTCATTCAGTGTATCAAGTTCTGCAATGGCCTCATCAAAAGCCTGATAAAATATTTGTATCATGGTAAACAATATTTGCACTGACAAAAACTCATTAGTATACAATTACAAATCACTTGTCTCAGATTCTACTGTGAGTCATCAAATTCAATAGAATCATCCCCTCAGATTTCTAGTTTTTCAAGACCTTAAGAGAATGACCTGGAACTTTATGTCCTTCAGTAAGCAAGCCTCTGGGTCTTTCCCAGGACACATAGTACAGTTCCAGTGCTTCATCCTTGCAATAGGAGCTAGGCGTTAGTTATCTGCAGAAGCCTTTCTTATTGTCCCTTTTTGAGGCACTTTGAGGAAATCAGATTTCTAATGACCAAACTAGCATGCATTACTATACAATCTTCTGTTTCATTCCTTCATAAAATTACTCATACTTCTTTGACTATTCTGCCTTACATGCTCTTCAGTCAGATATTATTCCTTATAATTATGGGAAGAATACATCACTGAAAGGGCCTGGGGTTTAAATGGGCAAGGTGGTAATAAAAAGAATTAAAAAAATTTGACCCCTCAAACAACCTTAGACTAAGAGCTATTACTTGAACTTTCATCTTACCGTTTTTGCCAGTGTGCAGGCAAGCTCTGGATTATTAAGAATCTCATAGTAAAATACAGAAAAGTTTAGAGCCAGCCCCAGGCGGATTGGGTGTGTGGGCTGCATCTCTTTCTTGCTTATATCAAAAGCCTCTTGGTAAGCGCCTTGGGAATTGTCTATCGTTTCTGTGAGGGGAAAAAATTGTGAAAGCATGCTCAACACATCCAGTCCACAGCAGCACATTAACAACTCAACATGTATATTAAGTTCTTGGTAGACCCAGGTTTTTCTCCATAGCTCTCGTTCAAACCCACAGCATCATAGCAATAACTAATTTTTTTAATGTTTTTAGTTTTTTTTTTTTTTTTAAGTAAAGAAATCCCATTGAGCCGGGCGCCGGTGGCTCACGCCTGTCATCCTGGCTACTCAGGAGGCTGAAATTTAAGGATCACAGTTCAAAGCCAGCCCAGGCAGGAAAGTCCGTGAGACTCTTCTCTCCAATAAACCACCAGAAAACCGGAAGTGGCGCTGTGGCTCAAGCGGTAGAGCAGCCACCTTGAGCTGAAGAGCTGAGGGATAGCGCCCAAGCCCAGAGTTCAAGCCCAACGCCTAACAACAACAAAAAGAAATCCCATTCAATCAAAGAAAATTACAGTTTTTGTTTTTAATGATTTTTTTTACCACCACACAGAATCAAAGTAGAATCAAAACTAACATGAGAACATAAAGCAACCAAGGATACAACTGTTTAGTACTGTGTATAAGTTATTTTCTAAATGCTGCTTGCTTATAATTAGCTTAACAAAAACATACAAGTATAATATCAAAATCATGTATCAAATTTTCCCATACCTGGGACAAAATGGGGGTTAAAACTACTTCCTTCTTTCCTATCTTAATTCTATTACATGAAAATACAAAATAACTTAACAGGAATACTCTTTTCCTAAACAGTGAACACATTGTACAAAGACCGTTACATCACCCAAGTCCCTGTACTTTAGTGACTATTTGTAGAAACAATACTTATCCTGCTATTAAGAGGTATGATGTGAATGCCCTGAGAAATGTGGGGCTGGCAGCACCTGCCTGTTATCCTTGCTACTTAGGAAATAGGAGGATTGAAGTTCAAAGCCAGCCCAGGCTTACATATCCAAGTATTTGCACCAAAAACAAAAACAAAAAAACACTGCCAAGTGTTGGTGGCTCACACCTATAATCCTAGCAACTTTGGAAGCTGAGATCTAAGGATAGCAGTTCAAAGACAGCCCAGGCAAGAAAGCCTATGAGACTCATCACCAATTAACTACCCAAAAAGCCTGAAGTGGAAGAATGGCTCAAGTGGTAGAGTACTAGCCTTGAGCAAAAACAAAAACAAAAAGTGAGGCACAGCATTCAGGTACTGAGTTCAAGCCCCAGGACCAGCACCAAAAAGCCAAACAACAAAAAACCCACACATCTGTTCTACTTTGTCAAGAGCTTGATTATTGGCCTTAGAAAAATGTGATCCCCACCTACTCACAAAAAAATGCTCAGATATTATCAACAATAATCTGATCATACCCAAGTTTTCTCTAAGAGGCCAGTGACAGACACCTCTGGATACTAATGTAACACAAATACAGCTATACTCCATCCCCTTGATGTCCAGAATGTGTGTTCCTTCCTTGTGTAAAGGCATGCTATCATCTAATCATGGTCACAACTGGGTAACTCAGGTCAGAAGAAGCTCCCAGAGTCTGGCATCTGAGGAAGCACTGGGGTGAGTGGAGTGATAAAACCAGAAGGGGACTTGTGACTTGTAAGTGTCAACAGCCAGAGGGCAGGAGAGTTAGATGAGATTACAGGCAGGGGCTGTCTCAACCCTCAGAAAATATTCTTTTGACTGCTGATGCTCAGTTCAGGGCCAATATTTTAGTGCTGATTCTGCTTCAGGGCAACAAAATAATTTAGTATACAGATTTTGTTACAGCAAAAAGCAAGTTATCCCTTTATATTTTCAACTACAGACTCATTGAGGATGGAAAAACCTGTCTCATACACAATGAGTATCTGAGGGCACAGTCATTATTTGGAGTAGCACAGGGTTGGCATGAGAAAATAAACAATAAGCTTACTAGAAAAAAATGAGGGGTGAAGTGATACTTCTTTACTTAGACCTTGATAACAAGCACATGCACAAAATGTGCTAGAATTCATATTCTACTCTACTAGAGTAATACTCCATAAACTAAATCTGATGTTAATAAATGATGAACTTTGACTTTTCCACAATCAAAAGAGACAATTTAATTACCTTTTTGCACATTTCATGATAATCTAATATTTTAAAAATATAAATACTTAATCTATTTTTTAACTATTCCTTTTCCAGTTCCTGTGCATTACATAAAACCAGTAACACACTCATTCCTCCTCAGGTATTTAGCTCCGTGGGGAGAGGGCAAGCAGCAAAGATGTCATCTTTTACAAGTACAACATCCCATTTCTATATTTTATATATAGCTGCCATCTAAAACAAATCATTAAGTATATATAAGTAATTCTGGATAAAAAGATACAGAGATCCAAAAACTCAAATCAGACCCTTTTAAAATGACATATTCCAATTATATGTATTTGTTCAATGCCAGTATCAAGGTTTGAAAACCAGTGCTCATGCTTGCTCCATTTGCTTGCTCAGCTGACGCTCTACTACTTGAGCCATACTTTCAACCTGGCTTTTTGTTGGTTATTTTTGGAGACAGCCTCATGGACTTTTCTCCCAGGGCTGGCAATGAGCCACAATCCTCCAAATCTCAGCCTCCTGAATAGCTAGGATTGCAGATATCAGCCAACAGCACCTGAGTTTCATTATCTTTTAAGGGCATACAATGTGGTTTTATGGTTGCATTTCTTTTTTTTTTTTTTTTTGG